ACAAANCCAACTATGTGAAAATACTATAATACTAAAAAAGAAAAAAAAGAGGTCATTAGGTGTGGCCATGCATGTGATAATGTTTTTAAAAGAAGACAATAGAAACCAGAAATAGATATTATAAGAAGGAAAAACAAGCATTCCTAAAATATTTACAAATAATTAAAGTGCCATATAAGTTTGGCCAATACACAAAAAGAAAAAGGGGATTATAAAAGTAAAATTAAACATTTCATAACAACCACTAATGTGCTTACATCCATTTTTTACTTAAGATTCTATCATGCCCTATCCTAGGAAGAATTAGAAGAATTTTTCACTTTAGAGGATGGCATGGTTGAAGAAGGCACCCTATCAAAAGGCATTCCTTGATGAATTGGACTGAGATCTGAATCAACTTCATTAATTGTAGTCTCCTCTACCACTTGGACAAGTTGCATAGAAGAAGAGACATCATTTTTCTTCAATAACAGCTCATGCTAGNTCAAAAGGCATTCCTTGACGAATTGGACTGAGATCTGAATCAATTTCATTAATTGTAGTCTCCTCTACCACTTGGACAAGTTGCATAGAAGAAGAGACATCATTTTTCTTCAATAACAGCTCATGCTAGTTGTTTCCAAGACTTTTTATTTGAAGAAGAAGTATACCTAATAGCAAGATGTTCAAGAGGATCTGGCACAAGATGACCCTCGACAGAAAATGAATACTATAAAGGATTAACCATGGATGAGCCTTCATGAAGTTTGCCAAGTAAATATGCTAGCAAAAAAGATAGGTCGCTTGGTTTTTTGGTTGGAAAAATACAGTTTGGGAATGCAACTAACTAGATTAGCATTGCGGATTAGAGCTGAAGAGCTAAAGCATNAAGTATACCTAATAGCAAGATGTTCAAGAGGATCTGACACAAGATGACCCTCGACAGAAAATGAATACTATAAAGGATTAACCATGGATGAGCCTTCATGAAGTTTGCCAAGTAAATATGCTAGCAAAAAAGATAGGTCGCTTGGTTTTTTGGTTGGAAAAATACAGTTTGGGAATGCAACTAACTAGATTAGCATTGCGGATTAGAGCTGAAGAGCTAAAGCATTTTGCCACCAATTCACAAAAAGGGGAAAAACAAATGGTCCCCCATGAAGTTTTTTAACATGAAAGGCTTTCAAAGATTTATTATAGGGCAAAGATATTAGATGAATCGAATAAGGATCTCTAAGTTTGAGCCTTTGAGTTACAAGCTCATCAATAAAAGAGTCCATAAAAGGCACTAGAACTCTATGAGTAAAGCCAAATTGTTTGGAATCTGGCTAGGAGAGTAATTCTCAAAACCACACTTGGAGTATTTAGAATCATAAATTGGGCCGCCTACATGGTGGTATGAGGAAGAAGAACAATGCCCCCAAAATGTGTGAAGATAATCAGCTTGCTCACCGGTAGGATCGATGGAGTCATCAAAGAATGCTCCAAGGCGTAAAGATTAGTAAAGGCATTTGGAAAAGGCAAAAAAATAGGAGGATACCTATCGAAGTCCATATGCAAAGATGTGGAAACTAACATAAGAAACTAATGTGCATAATTAATAGGACTAAATGTTGGTAAAGGGAGATATTCGATGGACCAAGTTTTAGGAAAATAGGCATGTAGCCATGCTTGGGATAGCGAAAAAAATCCTCCACAATTACTGTCGATTCTCCTTTCAGCCATGTTAAAAAAAAAGCCTCTATGAAGGGCTCCTAACACGAAAAGAGCTAAGGCTAGAAATTTTCGATCGACCAAAAAAATAGCAATGTTCAAGTACTCCCTAGTAATCTTGAGACTAGAGATACAAAGCAACAAAGCCAATGAAGGAGGAAAGCCACATGTTCTTCATAAGAAGGAATGACAAAGTTTGACTTACAAAAGAAGATAACATGGTTTGAATAATTAAAGTTATTTGGAAGATCAGGCAGAATGTGTTCAAGCTTCAAACATATAGTTACCTCTATCCCAGTCGATGACAACCCTTTCAAATGTACAACATTAGGGATAGATGGAGACATCACGGCAAAAGGAAGTAACATGGTATTGCAAGATTGTGACCAAAAATAGGTAGTTGCGCCTACGAGCCAATGATTCATGTACAACGGGCTCATTGAGAGCTTTATTTGTTCATAGATTTTGTATTCCTTCCATTGGTCAGAGAAATGCATCTCCATTCATTCTACCTGGTCAAACCATTGTTGGTCTGGATCAACTCAAGACTTCAAAGGACTAAGCCCATGATCCCAAGATTTCCACCGAAGGTGAGGATGATGAAGCGTCAAAATTTCCCCTTGGGAAATAGGATAATGCTCATATAGCCTTGGAAAGATGCCTGATTTGAAGGCATGACCCAATGCAAAATTTGAGCTAGAATCCAGAGAAGGGATCAAAATGTTGTCAGCTACTGAATCCCGAATGATGTACCTAGGATTAATAAGGAATTGAAGAATGAAACCTTTAAATAGGTGTTCAGAAGCTAAACAATTACAACTATTCATTTATCTGAGTAATCACTCAAACTCAAAATAAATTAGGGGGAATTGTTTGATATAAAATGTCAAATCTCTTGAATATTCAGTGTATCGACACTTAGCATCCTAGGTGCATCAAAAAAATGTCATATAACAAAATATAAAGAAAGACGGTAGATGATCAGTCACAGTGATACTTGATAAAAAAGAAGATTAACTAACTATAAGTTACCGGTTAATAACCGTCAATATGAGCAAAACCGTCCAAAACAATGACTATAAAAAGGGTATTTAGTAGAGAAGACATGATACACTCAAACCCCCAAAGTCCCATGATCTGGACTTTATTGGGAGTAGTTTTAATTTAGTTTTAGAAGATAGTTATTAATGCAATCAATGTTGTTTATTCAGTCTTTCTGTCACCGAAGTCTTTTTGATTGAATTAATAAAGAAATCATCTTTTATTACTTCCTTGTACTGTGTGTATGTTCATTATTTCTCATTCAATGAAATTTTGAAATAAGATATTTGAATCCCTTATAAATGGTCACATGAAAACAATCTATCGATTGAGATATATTTATCAATCCCAATAGATTTTGGAGCAACAATGGATGGCATTACATAATAGTGATAATATAATGTCACTGTTACATTAAATATTCACTTAATTAATTGCATACGCCCTAAAATGACACAAGGCAAAGAACCTTTACTCTATCATGCCCAAAAAATAAGTTAAATATTGTGCACTGTGTGCGTTTGAATATGCAATGAAATGCATATACATTTGAATAATGGCTGCAAAAGGCAGTGTACTGATTCCTTTTCCAAAGTACTTCTTTGAATTTTCAAACAAAAAAATATAAAAATAAATTTTAAATGCATTTATTTAGACCAAAAAAAAAATGTTTTTTTATTTTGTTCTTTTTTTCTTGTCCAAATTTATTCTCATCCTTCAAGCATAACTCGCATGTATAGGAATATGTATGTACACAAAAAAGAATAGTTGTTTAGTATAAGAAAATCCCACACTTTTTTTACTTTACTGTTGAGCCGGCAGTGGGGTGACGAGAAAAATCAAGGAAATATGGAAAACTGTTACAAAAATTGTATAGTTGTAAATGTTTGTTTGACCAGCCCAATATCGCGTCCAGTAATTTTGGGTTGTCTAAAGGTTTGGGTTACTATTAAAGTCCACAATTATGTCTTACAATTAAGGGGCTTAATGCTAGCTAAGGGGTTGGTTTGACCACCTTTAACTTGTTAACAGTATTGAATCCCTCAACTATTCAACTGAAGTAGGTGTGCAACTCGCGCAGATTAAAGAGGTTGAGAGTACAATTTAAACACTATTCATAATATAAAAAACTTTCAACCCGTTCAATCCAAAATTTGTATACCAAATTCAACCAAAACTATTCATCCCCAGTATTTCACGTGTTTAATTTTTTAAATTCAAGTTGAACTTGAGTCAAACAACTCCAGTTAAAATCGGGTTCAATTTATATTCATTTTTATTTTATCCAAGCTAGAATTTAAGCCTATTTGGTATTAAATCTTGGTTAACTTGATTTTGGCTTTCGGGTTACACAACTTGGGGTAAAATTTTAGTTTAATTCGATTCAACCTCAAATTAGGTATTAATCTACCCATTTGGGTTGAATTCGAATTGGCTCTCGAAAATCTGAGACCTGAAATTCAAATTTAGTATTGCACAAATTTAAATTGGGTTGAAAATTTTGGCTCAAGCCAAACCCTAGTATTAAAAATCTCTAACAAAATACTGAATATTTGGGGTTAACTTAGGATTGGCCGGCCAAGTCTGGAATTCTGTCTGTTAGTCTGGAGTTGAGAAAGGGACTTGTAGAATACAAAAAACCACGGTGAGTATGCACCCAATAAAACTGAACTTGTGCTTCCCTACCAACTTTCATAGTTTTGGATTTGGAAAAGAAAGCATTTTCTCCAACACCCCCAACCCCACCATACGAAAACAATGTTTTTGTTTCCACATTTGCCAAGCATACAATAATATAAGGCTATTAGATCATGGTTTAACATTGCAATTTATAGGGCACCGTCGAATAATATCAAGTAATACAGAACAAGTGTTGGGTAGAAGAATAAGTTTGTACATAGCAAGAGATTAACGCTATATAAAAACGCACAAAAGGTGGGCTGATATCATGAAAAGATGAGTCAGACAACTCATGGTAACTCAAAATGAAAGGTGTTGAGTCAAACACAATTAAGCTGATTCGATATATATACTGTGAACCATGAAAACATGACTGAAAGTGGAAATAAATTAATGAATCCATTTCCACAGATGAGCTTATACAAAGTGAGATGTAGTAAACGATGAATCTTTATATCAACCTTTTCATCAAACAGGAGTAGATACAAACATTCTCACACAATTACCAAAACACAATATATTACAGACATGGTTCCTAATGCAAACTGTCAACACTGAAAAATTCAGCAGTGTTTCACATATGTGCATCAAACAAATGAACCTGTCCTTGAAACTTGTGACAAAGCTTCTTCAAACTGATCATCATCAGACTCCTCGGCGGTCAAGCTTGGGGGGATGAAAGATCTGAAAACAAGTTCCATGTTTGGAATTTCCTTCAATTCACGATAAGCGACTTCAAGAGCTGTTGCTTCGAAAAATCAATAGAATTTCTTTCTACAAACAAAGGTGAAGATCAAGGACAGTACCGGAAGGGGAATCAGAAACGGAGCGTAGTAGAACTTCTTTACGCCAAAGTAACCGAACATGGTGACTTGAAATAGGAGCAAGGAAGCTAAGATGCGCGTGTGAATGTGAGGCCACATCCTTCCATAGCTCTCATAGGATGGAACATACACTTTGAGTAACAAATGTTGGAAGAAAATTTCAAAAATGGGAAATTGAATCAGGGGGCAGCTAAAGAAAAAGGTAAATATTAGTTTTTTCATAAGCTTAAGGCGTTACACACATTTAACAACTTTGATCTGAAACAACTTCCATGAGTTATCATGTCAGCGCAAGCTAAAACAACTGTCCAGGGCAAGGATTATAATTTCGTTGGGAACAACTACTAGAAGAAACCAAAAAGTGGAAAATTTGGAGCTAGAAGAACTAAAGATAAAAGGGTTTGTTTTTCGAGGAGTTCAGAAATATTTAGAGGTGTTTGAAAATGTTTTGGCCATTGTTTCGGAAACAAGTTTCCAAATTTTTCCTTTGTTTCTTTTTTATTTCCAAAATATTTTCCAAACGCTTCCATTTCCAAACTGATCAAAATTATACATCGGAACGAAATTTTGAGTGTAGTCAGTGGTTACTTTCTATCTTATTTCAACACCACATACACAACGATATGCATGTTGCAGTACCATGCCAACACCAATTTAAAGGCCAATGTTAAGACTAGTGAATGAACTATTTTCGCAATAGTTCCTTGAAATTGGAATTGGAACTTCAGAAGTATACGAAAATAAATTACTAGGCATCACCTGATTCCGGAGAATAAGCCATCCAAGGCCAAAGTATACAACACCGAATGGAATAATTATTGGAGCTATTACAGAGTAGCAAAAGACAATTGTGACAATCAGCATGTCACCAGGAACTCTAGTTCCATATTCAAGATCTCCAGGAGCCCAAGCCTCTTCAATTCAGCTTCAGTTTTGCAAAGGTACTTCCTCTTGATGTGGAATATAATCAAAGGAACTACCCGGAACAGCTCAAGACCATAGCCAACAAAGAACCTAAGTTCCATAAAATCAAGAATATCAGTTAACTCATCCTACTAGCACCACAAAGGCAAAACACTTTTGGTTATATCGTATTTAGAAAATGCAAATGCAAACAGAAATCTCATAATACTGAATTCGATGTTTCTATGTGTTAAAAAAAAAAAAATCAAATGTCTTACCAATGGCTAACAGATAAATAAAAGCTTGTATAATAAAATTAAGTTTTTAAAACTTTTCATTGAATTTCCACTTTAATTGAGTTTAAATTTTTGAATTTTCATTTACAGATTTTTGTCCACTTTGTTGTGTATATTAAAGAATAAAAATTAATCATCTTAAAAATGGTTTTATGGCCAAACAGTCAGAAGTTATAAAGGCTATGTATGTGTGTGGGTTACTAAACCAATGGCTATATATTCAACCTTCTATTCCTTTACATGTTTTTCACCTTTGTTTGGCTACACTAGTCTATGCGAGTAGACTTCTCCCCATCCCACATTATAATTCATTGACTTTTATATTCATATTCTTCCAACATCGAGTTCAGTCACATCTATATAAATATACCTATACAATTATCTTCTTTTATCTTTGTTTTCAGACAACTTGACTTGAGTCAGATTCACCCCAACCTTTCAGTGGACGTGACAATTAAGCAGGTGTTGTAGTAAGCGTCCAAGTTGAATCTTGGAGTCGTTGGTGTCCATCAGTGCCCTCATTTGGAGAGGCTCAGCTGCTTTAGGACAGTAATCACACTCTAAATTAATTTATTTAATTTATATAGATTGCACGTATATATATTTTATGTGTTCATTTATAATTCTAATGATCTAGTCACTGTTTGCATGTTTTATTCCTAATTTTAGATTATAACATCCATAGTTATTTTGCTCACGTCATAGTTCTAATAATCATTGCTTTGGCCAAAATTTTAGTAGCTATTTTTCTTAATTTCAATTGTAAATCTATGAGTCAAATCTATATTTTTTTTTTTTTACAATCTAAAGCAGCTGAATTTTTGTTGTTAAAAAATAAACAGTAATATTTCTCTTTTAATTAAAAAAAAAAAACAGAAGCTACAACATAAAAGGTAAAAACCAAAGAAAAAAAAAATTGTTTTGTTTTAAAAGGAATAATTCACCGACAAGAACTTTTCAAAAGTTATTACAGTAACTTAAAGACCTTTCTTGGTATCGTTACAAATTAAAATAGTTAGAGTTTTTGCATCTCTTATTATTTCTTTACCCTTAAATTCTAAATTAAGAATGACTAGACTAGAAGAAGCTAATAGTTCGATATTGGTTGACCGTACTAGACTTAATTTCTACGATAGATGAGCCTCAACCTAGTCAAGCGCCATCTTCATGGTATACCCTTGAACAAATTGAATGTCATCACTATGATAATAGAATTCTTAGTGCTTTTTATGATGTCTATCATAATACTACGACAACCACTAAAGAACTTTGGAACACTTTAGAGGCCGAGTATGAGATTGTTGAAGCTGGAATTAAACGGTTTATGATCTCTAATTTTAATAATTATAAATGGTGGAGAATAAACCTGTTGGTGATCAAATTCATAAATATCAAGAATTTTTTGCGAAAATTGAAAAGGGTGGAGCTACTAGTGAAGATTTTAAAGTTTCAAGCTTAATTGACGTGTCTACCTTCTTGGGATAATTTTGTTAAGACCCTTAGGCATAAACAATGAGAGTTAACCTTAACCCAAACTAAAAACGCGCTTAGGGTTGTAGAGAAGCATAGGGTTGGTACAAACTCACAAAATAAAAGACTCCCTAATGTAAACCTAGTGGAAAATAATAACCACAACCATAACAATTTCCAACCAAGGGGAAGAAATTTTAAGAATAAGGCATTTAATGGTCGTCCTAATAATGGTAAAAATAAAACCATCAAAACAAAAATAATAATAAGTTCAAGGGCTTAGGGGCAGAGAGGATGCCTTGCTTTGTTTGTGGATGAACCGATCTCTTGACTAAGGATTGCTACTACAACAAGACTGAGCCGTATAAGCCAAAAATCCAAGCCAAATCAAAGAGATACAAGAGGTCGATCAATGTTCTAGTGGATGGAGATAATACTGTCGAACCCTATTTTAGGTATAATCTTTCCTTAGTTAATTTTACCTATCAAGATAAAGATTGGTGGCTAGACTATGGGGCTAATATACATGTCTGTTTTGATCGTAATTTATTTAAAACTTATCAGAAATCAAGTAAAGGAAGTGTAACACTTAGAAATGATTTCGTCGCACAAGTGCTAGGAATTGGAGACATTGAACTAAAGATGACATCTGGGAAGAGATTGATCTTGAAGGGAGTGCGATATGTTCCTGAAGTTAGAAGAAATTTAGTCAATGGGTCATCCTTAGTCCAACAAGGTTATAAGATTGTAATGGAGTCGAATAAAGTTGTGATAACTAGGAATGAAGTGTTTGTTGGCAAATGATATGTTTGTGATGATTTATTTAAATTGAATGTGCTTTCGAAAGTTAATGAAATTTCTTATCAAGTCTTCAATGTTGAATCTTGCAATGTGTGGCATGGAAGATTAGGACATATAAGTCTTAAAAAAATAAAAAAGGATGATGGATCTCAATATTATTCCCAAATCTCATATAAATTTTAAACATAAGTGTGAAATTTGTGTACAAACCAAACAAACTAAAAAACCTTATACGAGCGTAGAAAGTAATACCCAACTTATAGAAATTTTTTTTTTTTTATAGAACTTATACATAGTGATGTATAAATAAATATTTTGTAACTTTTATAGATGATTGTTCTAAATATTGTTATATCTATCTTATCAAGATTAAAGATGAAGTATCCAATAAGTTTAAGATATATAAAAATGAGGTTAAAAATCAATTAGAGAGAAAAGTGAAAAGACTAAGGTCTAATAGAGGAGGTAAATATACTATAACCGATCTTAGTACATTTTGTGAAGAACATGAAATAATACATGAGCTTACACCTCCTTATTCCCCTCAATCAAATGGAGTAGCCAAAAGAAATAATAGAACCTTGATGGATATGGTAAATTCAATGTTGACAAGTTTCGACTTATCTGAGAACTTGTGGGGGGAAGCTATTAGTGCTTGTTTCATCTTAAATAGGGTATATGTTAAAGATAATGAGAAAACTCCATATGAGATATGGAAGAGAAAAGTTCTTGACCTTAGTATCATGAAAATGTGGTGGTGTTTTGTTAAGGTAGTTATTGCCGAACCAAAGAGAAAAAAAGTAGCTCCTAAGACCATAGATAGTCTTTATAGGATATGCCAAAAATGGTAGCGTTAATAGATTCTTAGTTATTAGCTTAGAAGTTAATGGAATTTCAAACAATACTATAATTGAATCTAGAGATACTACATTTTGTGAAGATATTTTTCCTTTTAAAAATACAATGCTTAGTCAAGTAAGAGAAACTCCTTCAACGAATGATGAACCTTCTACTAGTTCTATTGCTCCCTTAAAGATAGATATAGAACAACATGTAGAGTAACGTAGAAGTAAAAGACCTAGAATAAATAAGGACTTAGGAAAAGGATTTTTTATTTTTCTAGTAGGAGGAGAGCCAACAACATATAAAGAAGCTATGTCCGCTATAGATGCACCTTTTTGAAAGGAGGTTGTTAATAGTGAAATTGAATCTATATTGCTAAATAACACTTGAGAGATAGTAGAATTGCCTCGTGGAAGCAAAGTTATTAGGTGTAAGTGGATATTTAAGAAGAAACTAAAACCTAATGGGAGTATAGATAAATATAAAGTTAGATTGGTGGCTAAAGGATTTACTCAAAAAAAATGGATAGATTTTGATAAATACTCGTCTATGACTAGCATCACTACTATTAGAATACTAGTAGCCCTAGCAACTATCCATAACTTAGTAATACATCAAATGAATGTCAAGACCGCTTTTCTAAATGGGGATTTAGATGAAACGATATATATGGAACAACCTGAGGGGTTTATGGTAAAAGGACAAGAACATAAGGTTTGTATATTAGTAAATTCTTTATATGGCCTTAAGTAAGCTCCTAAACAATGGTATGAGAAGGTTGATAAAGTGATCCTAGAGTATGGTTTTAAAATTAATAAAAGGGATAAATGTTTATACTACAATGATAGTGATATTAGTTGTGTGATCTTATATCACTATGTAGATGATATACTAATTTTTGGGACAAACTTGGAGGTAGTTAAGAATGTTAAATCTTACTTATCTACTAAATTTGATATGAAAGACTTCGGAGAAGTCTATGTAGTTTTGGGAATGAAAATAGAGAAAACATCCAATGGAATATCTCTAAGTCAATCTAGCACCATAGAAAAAATGTTGAAAAAGTTTGATTTTTATGATAATAAGTCAGTATCAACACCATATGATCCTCATTTACATTTGAAGAAAAATAAAGGAGAACCGATTTCACAATTGAAGTATTCACAAATAATTGGGTCTTTATTATACATAGCAAATAAGTCTTGACCAGATAACTCGTATGCCGCAGAGAGACTGAGTAGATATACACATAGTCCTAGTAAAGAGCATTGGGTTGCCTTAGAGAGAGTCTTTAAGTATCTTAAAGGAATTTTAGACTACGCTTTATATTACAGTGGATTTTCAAGTGTAGTTAAAGGCTTTAGTGATGCAAATTAGATCACCGGTAGTTGAGATATAAAATCCACTACTAGTTATGTCTTTTTGTTAGAAGGAACAACCATATCTTGGGGATCTAAAAAACAAACCATAATATCAAGAAGTACTATAGAGTTAGAACTTATAACCTTTAGATACCACATATACTAAGGCTGAGTGAATAAAGAATTTATTACTAGAGATAGTGGAAAAACTCATACTTGCCATTTCATTACAATGTGATAGTAAGGCAGTGATTGAGCTTGTAAAGCAAAATCATAATAATAAAATGATAAATAGACATATACAAGTGAGATATAAATCAATAAAGAAAAAACTTAGTAAAAGCATAATTTCAATAGACTTTGTAAAGTTTGAGTTAAATATAGTTGATCAGCTAACTAAAAGGCTTTCGATGAAAACAATCTCAGAACTGTCGAGGGGGATGGGCTTAAGCCCGCAAGAGAGTCACCTAGAGAGGTAACCCAACTTCTGTGATTAAGGACCCTATGAAAGAAGTTCAATGGGTAGAAACAATTCATAATGCGTGACTCATTAGCATTATTATTTAGAAAATATCCAAGAGGAGATATTTTTCATGCTCATTCTTATGGCAGAAGTGCATATATAGTGTGATGATAAGGAAGGGTTCATACCCTGAATGAGACCGAGACAATAACATTCTTACAAGATATCGTACGCATATACCCTTAGAAGGCTCACCTAAGTGAAAACAGTCGTGAGACCGCAACTATGAGAATTGGGCTATTCTCTAGAAACTCTCATGAGAATTAAAATCAAATGCATGACCATTAATATCACTAACCCGTGAATCCTAACCAATATCGGTATTATGTGTGTGATATGTTGAACTTTGATTCAAATGGTCTAGTTCAAGCCTATGATACTTCAAAGGGAGACTGTCAATACTAAGTGAGATTCAAGTTCGGAAGACAATTACACCTATTGTATAGTATAATAGTTGCTCATATTTTCTATTAAAGTATATACAAAATATTTGAGATACTTTTAAGTTTTAAAAACTCGTAGGGGATTGTAAAAATAAAATAAAGTTTTTAAAACATATCATTGAATTTTCACTTTAATTGAGTTTAAATTTTTGAATTTTCAGTTATAGATTTTTGTCCAATTTATTGTATATTAAAAAAGAAAAATTAATCATATTAAAAATGGTTTTATGGTCAAATGGTCTGAAGTTGTAAAGGCTATGTGTGTGGGTTACTAAACCAATGGCAATATTAGTGGCTTTGAGAAACCATTTGAAAAAAAAAAAAACGAATTCAACCTTCTATTATATTCCTTTACATGTTTTTCACCTTTGTTTGGCTATACTAGTCTACGCCAGTAGACTTCTCCCTATCCCACAGTATATTTCATTAACTTTTATATCCATATTCCNTTAGTCTACGTCAGTAGACTTCTCCCTATCCCACAGTATATTTCATTAACTTTTATACCCATATTCCTCCAACATCGAGTTCAGTCACACCTATAAAAATGTACTTATAAAATTATCCTCTATTATCTTTGTTTTCGGACAACTTAATTCGAGTCAAGTTCACCCCAATCTTCCGGTGGACGTGACCATTGAGGAAGTGCTGTTGCGAGCGTCTGTGTCGAATCTTGGAGTCGCTAGTGTCCGTCAGTACCCTCACATCGGGAGAGTCAGCTGTTTTAGGACAGTGATCACACACCTCTAAGACTCACATGCCAGCTCACTCAAAATCAATTTATTTGGTTTATATAGATTATATGTTTATATATTTTTTGTGTTCATTTAAATCGCATGATATAATTCTAATAATCTAGTCACTGTTTGAATGCATTACTCCTAATTTTAGATTACAACATCCATAGTTATTTTGCTCACCTCATAGTTCAAATAATCGTTGCTTTGGCCAAAATTTTAGTTGCTATTTTTCTTAATTTCAATTGTAAATCTGAGTCAAATCTATATTTGTTTTTGCAAAGCTTACAAACTCAAAGATCAAAAACTGAAAATACAAATATCTAAGCTGATAACCCAAACAAAGTTGAGCTTTATTGCTATTTGCTTATCAAAAATATTAAGTTTTTTCCGATTATTTACCCCCAAACAAAAAATTTATTACTTGGAAGGCAAAAAAAGATCCATTACCCTCCGGAACAAAGTCTAAACATACAAGAATATAAACCCGTTTCATACTTTTTATAGATAAATCAAAAAATAGTTGTCCAAAGTTTTCAAACAAAACATGATAGAATTCATGTTGCTTAACCTCCAGGTACAAGCAGATGTAACTGGAGTTGACGTAGAACAGATCATAATTACAAGCTGACCATAACTTTGGAGCATACTTTGTAGCTAGGAATTTTAAAAACAGAAAAAAGAAAAACAAATTTACCTTTACTCATTTATGTTTTCAAGTTATTATTATGTTTCGTTTTGACTAACAACAGCATAAAATCTGTGTCATAAAATAGTTTCTGCCAATGGATATTGAAAATTTTCTTTCTCTATCTATATTTATGTCAGAAAGTAGTAGCATAAAATTCCTAAGATTATCAATTCAATTGAATCTGGGATTGTAGAACGAAAAATCGTAAAGTTATCTTAAGAAAAATAATGCTGACGGAAAGGAAAGCAAGTTATGTGAATGAAAAAATAAAGAAAACTGCAATCTTACTTCAGAGCCACAAATGTCAAGAAGAAAGTTGCATTGCCTGGGAGGCTAGTCGCCAGTAAGTCAGCAATAGAATTTGGATCCTTCTGAATTGTCTTTAATGTACTGAAAAGAGTTCCACCAATTGTAACTCCGATAAATACGTTCAAGACGCTGAAATAGAAGTATTTCCCTGAAGCGGCCCTTATTACATGGCTCTCCGAAGGAATGCCCTCAGCCTTTGATAGAAACAAAAGAAACTTCGGCAACAAAGCCAGAAACACAATAAGTGCAATCTGAGGGAGGTAAGCTTCCAACACTGTCTTAATCACATCCTGATCAGTGGCTGCCTTTAGAAATGGGAGAAGCTTCCTCAGATTCAGCAGAGTTGTAAATGCAGAGATTAACCCGATGGGGATCATGTAAAAAGCTATTGTCAAAAAGACAATGACATAAATGACATACTGTCGTATCTGCCTCATAAAAATTCTAAGTAAGATTAGGCCATATTAACTGTTGGGGTTCAGGAGCATCCATGACTGTCCATGTGTCCACCATTCGAGCATGTAGACTCACAGCTGCAGAAGCAGCAGTAACCCTGCTGGTGAAGAAGACCAGAGCTGAACCCAGCTGCTTCTCTCTGAGCGTGACTTTCTGTTCAGCTTCCAATTTTGGGGTCAGCTCATTGATTTTTTGGGTATAGCACTCTATTGAATCAACCTTATTACCAAAGAGACCAAGGAAGCCAGTTCTGTTCATTGGTCTTATTCCGTCAGGCTTGCCTGTTTTTTTTGGCTCTGCATATACGGCTTCAGCATGAGCAAGCTTCTTTTTGCACTCTTCCAACTCTTTGTATATTTTATTGACCTGGTAGAACCAAACGGTATGTATGGTGAAGCTAGATATCACTCTGACATCAGTAGAATATTACATTTCACACAGACAAGTGTAACTTATATAATCAAGTGAAGATTATAATCTCATGCATCTGATTTTCCATGCATCTTATANCACAGACAAGTGTAACTTATATAATCAAGTGAAGATTATAATCTCATGCATCTGATTTTCCATGCATCTTATATTTTGTGCACCTTTTTTGGTTCAAAGAAAAATTCCTTTCATGTGGAAACAAAGGTAAGTCGTTTTATGCAAATATTAAACAACACAATGAAGATATCTCGAAACAGTGAGCAGAGTGCATTCAACAACTGAAAAAGAAAATAAACAAATGATTATGGGAGTGTATACATAGCAAAAGGGCAGGTAAACAACAATGCAATACCTCCTTGTTGTCTGTGACTACCATTGATCTGTAAAATGCCTCGGGATAGATTGTTTTGAAATATGAGTCAATCTGTTCCTTTCTAGATTGACCTTCAGGGGTAGGAGGAATGTCTCTGACAAGAACAGTAAACTGCTCAGCTCTCACTCCTTGAGACATTAGAGCTGCAGCTGTCAGATCAGAAACATGTTTGTATGCCTTCCACAGTAAGTAATATGCAACAAGAGAAACCCAATAGGTGGCAATCACAAATGCCCACAACCGTGGACTTTTTTCCTGCGATCCAAATGAGTAACAAACAATAATAAGCATATAAATTGGATGATAAATTTAGAACACGAGTACTGCTACTTGGATCTGGGACATATAATTCTAAGGCATAATCTTAGATGCAGTAATCTTCCCGATAAAAGACTGATTATCAAGCCAAACATGAAAAAAGGCAATACAACTTACTTGAACATGTCCCATAGATAGCCTATCAAGNCGATAAAAGACTGATTATCAAACCAAACATGAAAAAAGGGAATACAACTTACTTGAACATGTCCCATAGATAGCCTATCAAGGTCACTGAAAGTCCCGTTGCTGGTGGTATTGTTTGATGTCACTGTGTGATCAGTGGCTGCTACTGGAAGAAGTATTGGTAACAGCACTAGGCCGGCCAAGACTAATATTCCCAATACTGAAAAAAATCAAAAAAATCAAGAAAACATTAGCATGATCATAGGCTTTAGATAACAATAAGTGCATGCTCTAAGGCCAAGTGTCACGTGCTATAATATCCAATTGAAACGACCTCTATTTAGCCCTTGGGTTATTAATAATTTGCTTATGCACCAAAAATAGCGCATGCGAAAATATTCATCTACTATGTACATCCTTTCATATACAACAGATTGGTCATGAACCTCTGTATAGATAATAGGTGTAACAAAATAAAAGCAATCTCATTTTATTTGGTTTTCTTAACTAGGAAAAACCTACAATAAGGCCTCACATTGTACTTGGTATAAACAAAGGGGATCATAATCTAACAAAATAGAAATAATAATTTGCTTTGCAGCCTAACTCACAGATTAAACATCAATTTTCCCTCTGTTAAGCAATTCTCACTCTGTTGTTTTCTATTACTCCTGTGACAATTATGGTCAGAGTTTCAATGGCCCCAAAATCATTTCCTCAAAACTATTACAACTGAAAATTGGAAACTGAACATATTCTTTTGGTGCATTATTGAATGTCAATTGCCAAGAAGACCCTTGCTTAACTCCAATAAATTCAAGGTTCTACTACTTCTGTTCATGCCATGATTTTTAGGAACCAATGTTCATCAAATAAGAGAATAGAGTACAANTTATTGAATGTCAATTGCCAAGAAGACCCTTGCTTAACTCCAATAAATTCAAGGTTCTACTACTTTTGTTCATGCCATGATTTTTAGGAACCAATGTTCATCAAATAAGAGAATAGAGTACAACGAAATTTCCCCACCCCTTTAGGGTACTACCGACATTAATTTGTGGAAGTGTGTCATCTCTTGAACAAGTTGTTGAAAGATTCGCTTTCTCTGCTTCGATAGACAATAAGTATGGCTTTAGAACAAAATAATGACAAAGGTTATTTCTCCACTTTGGAAAACTTGTTGAAGTATATCAATTTTTCAAGTTGTGGTTTGTTGTTTGACCATGAATTGGATTGCAAGTCCAGTGATGTTAACCATAATTAGGAATAGATTTCATATTGTGGAAACCTTTTAACAATTGGCAGGGTGCCAGTGCTTTCCAGGAGGTCTTCCATTGGCAATAGAACATCAAAATATAGAAACTAGCCAATTATGACACCACATAATATCCAAGGTAGATGTGCAATCCAACAGCCTACAGAATATCAAAGACTTGGTGTAGCCAAATATGTACCATGAATAAAATAGACTAATTAACCATGAATAATTTTTTTTTTTTTTTTGCAATTGATTAACCATGACTAATTAATTTTTTCTTTCCTAAGGTGATAGAGTGANGTCCAAGGTAGATGTGCAATCCGACAGCCTACAGAATATCAAAGACTTGGTGTGGCCAAATATGTACCATGCATAAAATAGACTAATTAACCATGAATAATTTTTTTTTTTTTTTTTGCAATTGATTAACCATGACTAATTAATTTTTTCTTTCCTAAGGTGATAGAGTGACCCAATGATAAGTAAGGGCTCACACCTGCCCACAAGTGATTACGGGTTCCAACCTCATCCGCTCCTCCTCCTCTTCAATTTGTTGATAAAAAAACTTGAAATTGAAGTAATTTTACTAAACAATAATGCAATACTGAATACAGAGCAAATTTTGGGGCGACTACTCATCTCCCATCTAAGCTACTCCAAGCTAAGCCACTCCAAGCGTTTCGGCTAAATCAACAAATTGAGACATTAATTTGACATATTCCGACATAATTGAAGACTTTGAACTTACAACTTCAAGTTTACCTCAATTTTCTTCACTTTCATAAAACAAAATATTAAAATTATCTCATTCTAAACAACAACAGTGAGTAAAAAAGAGGAANTTGATAAAAAAACTTGAAATTGAAGTAATTTTACTAAACAATAATGCAATACTGACTACAGAGCAAATTTTGGGGCGACTACTCATCTCCCGTCTAAGCTACTCCAAGCTAAGCCACTCCAAGCGTTTCGGCAAAATCAATAAATTGAGACATTAATTTGACATATTCCGACATAATTGAAGACTTTGAACTCACAACTTCAAGTTTACCTCAATTTTCTTCACTTTCATAAAACAAAATACTAAAATTATCTCATTCTAAACAACAACAGTGAGTAAAAAAGAGGAAAATTAAAGCACCATTATGAAAGGAGAAACACATTTTCTAGGAAATAATTCAGAATCCAATGTTTCAAACTATACCACCAACCGCACCTATTTTTTCCCCATTAAAGCCAAAAGCAAAAAGCAAAAAGAAAAAGGAAACAGATCCTATAAAAATGGTACAAAAATGGCACAAAAATGGCTTTCATGTAAAGCAAAAGAACACATAGGCCTCTCCTGAATTCTTACCAAATCCACAACCAAAAAGGCCCAAATGTATATCTAATTAAACAATAAAAACATGAATTTCTACAAATTCAAACAAGCATACATATATTTGAACATATACGTATACAGAGAGACAGACAGACAGAAACAAACCAGTGCTCAAGAAAACAAAGTAGACCGCAGAATCAACACCAGACATGGAAATAACATCTTCTTCGGTGGAAGACAGAGCCTCTCGCATCCAAGCGAGAGGGTTTCTAGTTCCAGACAAGCCCTCGTAGGCATCCAAACCTTTCAAGATCCGATTCGGGTAGTACACAACATCNCGGTGGAAGACAGAGCCTCTCGCATCCAAGCGAGAGGGTTTCTAGTTCCAGACAAGCCCTCATAGGCATCCAAACCTTTCAAGATCCGATTCGGGTAGTACACAACATCGTTCCCAGGTTTCCTCGAAAGCTAGACAAACAAGCACATCAGAACCAAGAAAATCACCGAGGATGTCCCAAGAGACGTCAAGAACGAACTGAGATCCATATGGGTCTCTCTCTAAACCACACAGTCACTCACTCTTTCTCTCTCTAAAACTTAGTTCGTTGTTTTGTATGTAGGTCTGGTTTGTTGGGGTATGTGGAGAAGATGAAATGGTCAACACTAGCCATTAATGGGTCATCAAAGTGAGGAAAGTAGTAACAGTGGAGATGGGTAACGAAGAATATCGCAAAGTTATATACACGAAAACACGTATTGGCTTTTACTTCTAAAAGAGAAAAATATCTTACTTTGTCTGTAGCATTAGCCGAATGTGGAGTGTGGGGTTTATACGCAGTTGTCGTCTCACTCTGTCGCACAGACGCCTCGCGACTTTTAAAAGAGAGAAAAAAGAGGGGGGTTTTGGAGAGAGAGTGTAAGTGGAGCGGATTAGATGGCAGAGGGAATATCAGACATGGGGAGGAGAGAGTGAAAGTTGGAATAACTGAAATATGTCCACTTTCTGTAACTGTCCAAGTCCTTAGGTTGACATTCTTGCCCATGGAGATTAAAACTAGAATCCTAGAATACCGAAATTTGCTTTTCTATATTGTACCAAAATTTAATTGGCACGGTTGATCTAATATTTTTGATTTTCTAGCCGTTGATCAATTTAAAAAAGTTGGATTTTCTAGCCGTTGATCAATTAAACCAGTAGTAAAAATAAGATAGAATTCCACAAATAATCGCATACCAAAAAAGTGTTAATATAACTAAAAAATGTGATAAATTCACCTTAAAAGTTATAACTCCCCCAAAAGTTAGAACTTAACTCAAAAAAATTATAATTCAATTCAAAAAAGTTAAAACCTCACCCCAAAAAATTATAATCTAATTCATAAAAGTTGAAACTCTACCCCCAAAAAGTTAAAACTCACCACAAAAAATTATAATTCAATCTAAAAAAGTTAAACTTCACCACTAAAAAGTTGTAATCTAATCCATAAAAATTAAAACCCCACCCAAAAAAGTTGAAATCTACCCTCAAAAGGTTATAACTCAATCCAAAAAAGTTGAAATTTCACAAAAAAAAAATGGTAATATATCTAATCCGTAAAAGTTGGAAGTCACCCCAAAAATTAAAATTCAATCCAAAAAAGTTATACCCTACCCAAAGAGTTGGAATCCCTCCTCCAACAGTTAAAATTCACCCCCAAAATGTTATAACTCAATCAAAAAAAAAAAAATGGAAACCTCACCCCCAAAAAATTGTAACCTAATCCATAAAAGTTGATACACTACCCCCAACAGGTGGAATACACTCCCAAAAAATTATAACTCAATCCAAAAAAGTTGTAATCTAATTCATAACTCATACTAAAAAATTTGAAACCCAACGAAAAAAGTTGTTCTGTGAAAAAATTAGAATCCAACCTAAAAAGNTACTAAAAAGTTTGAAACCCAACAAAAAAGGTTGGACTTGACCTGCGAAAAAATTGGAATCCAACCCCTCCCAAAAAATTTTGAATTCATTATAACCCAACCATGAAAGTTGGAACCCACCCCTAAAGGTGGTTACCCATACTAAAAACTTTGAAACCCAACAAAAATTAGACCACATCCCATTCTAACATAATCCACATAAAAGTTGAACTCTATCAAAAAAAATTGAAATTAAACCCAAAAATTTTGAAACAACCCAAAAAAATTAGAATGCACCCAATGTAACCGATTCATAAAAGTTGTAACCCAACCAAAAAATTTAGAATTTGAACCCCATCCCACAAAATTTGTAACATAATCAATAATAAAAGTTGAACTCCGGCCAAAATTGTAAGTCAATCCAGAAAGTTGGACCTATCAAAGAGAAGTTGGAACCCACTCCCAAAATTTATCTATAACCCTCCTACAAAAGTTGGAACCAACCAAAAAATTAGATAACTCCAATAGGTGGAACCCTCCAAAAAGTTGAAACTCATACCTAAAAAAATTTGGAACTCACACCCATAAAAGTTGGACTCATCCCAAAAGTTGAACCCTACCAAAAAAGTTGAAACCAAACCCAAAAAATAGACCTAAGTCAATTCGTTGGAACACACCCCAAAAGTTGTAACCCAATCAAAAAAGTTGGAACCACGCACCAAAAGTTGTAACTTTAGTATGGACCCATCCCACAAAATTTTGACCTTTATTTACAATTTTTTATCCATTGGTTACAACTTTTTTCTTAGGGAGCAGTCTCAATTATTTGATTTTATTCGTTTTTCTTTAGAATTAAGATCAGTGATGAGGTAGTATGGATGATACTAATTTATTTATTTGTTGTTAATAATACTTTTATCTTTGACTTTTATCAATTTTGAGTTCCACTCAAAAAAAACTCAAAAAATTAGGACCAACCATAAATATATGAATATTACAACATTGTTAAATGGTTAATTACAACATTTGTAAATGTTAATAATTGTGATTTTGTCTCATAAAATTTTAATTTATTTGGTTTGTAAAAGTGAGACTACAAAAAAAAATTGAATATTTTTGGATTGCAGTCAGGAATTTTTTGATTATTTAAGAGATAAAAATGTGATAGTTAAGGGATAAAAGGGTAATATCAAATCCAAATCGGTTGCGCATTCCTACGGCCGGTCTTAATTCTTCTATAAGCAAATTACACTTAAACCCTTCAAATATTTAGATTTGGGATTGGTGCGAGGTAGTTTGGCAGTCCTAATTTATTTATTTGTTGTTAATAACACTTTTATCCTTGACTTTTATCAATTTTGATTTGGACTAAAAAAACTCAAAAAATTAGGACCAACCATAAATATAAGAATATTACAACATTGTTAAATGGTTAATTACAACATGTCATCTTTTTCTCTTTCAATATNACCATAAATATAAGAATATTACAACATTGTTAAATGGTTAATTACAACATGTCATCTTTTTCTCTTTCAATATTTAGCCTTTATACTTGTTTGATGCCTAAATGTACTCATTATTCTTATATTTTGACTTAGGATTCAAATGGAGGTGTTAAATGCAAAACGAAATTAATTGGACGATTTGGGACAGTTTCGACATTACTTCGTAATTTGGGCATAACTCTCTCATCCAAGCTCCGATTGAGATGATTCAAAATCCTATGGAACGCCAAGAAAAAGCTCTACAACTTCCATGTTTTGAGTTTTGAGATATATTGGCTGAATCAAGGTCGAAATTGGGCTTGAAGTTGCAGCTAGTGCACTGTTCACGTGTTGTTTATATTCTGAAATCTAGTACACAAAAATTCCAGTGGACTTTATTTTATTTTTACTCTCCTAGTTATATTTGAACTTTAATTTGCTAGTTATATTAGGACTTTACTTTTCTAGTCATATCAGGCTTGAGGAGGTGTTGAGGGAAAGAGAAAAAAAAAACGTAAAAAGGAGAAAGAGGAGCAAACTGGGCAGCGGCTATATCCCCCTTCTCCTCTAACTCTTTTTCCTAGTTTTCACGAAGGCCATGTGTGGCTAAAATTTAATACTTGGTCGAAAGAAACGGAAGCCTCGGAATCAATAAAATTGTGAGATATAATTTGTTTTTATTGTTCAATTTATGATNAGGAGAAAGAGGAGCAAACTGGGCAGCGGCTATATCCCCCTTCTCCTCTAACTCTTTTTCCTAGTTTTCATGAAGGCCATGTGTGGCTAAAATTTAATACTTGGTCGAAAGAAACGGAGGCCTCGGAATCAATAAAATTGTGAGATATAATTTGTTTTTATTGTTCAATTTATGATTTGAGTATTGGATGTTCTATTGTACCTATTTTTATGTTTAGGAGGCCTACTAATTTATTATTCATTGCAATCTACTTCTGGGTTAGATATCAAATCCGTAATTGTTTAATCCCTCTAATTTGTGAAGCAACTAAGATTTGATGATTTGCTGCATCAAAGATTANCCCTACTAATTTATTATTTATTGCAATCTACTTCTGGGTTAGATATCAAATCCGTAATTGTTTGATCCCTCTAATTTGTGAGGCAACTAAGATTTGATGATTTGCTGCATCAAAGATTATTAGATCTTAGAAAGAACATTTAACTAAATTAAATGCATTCGCTTGTGCTTGTGTTGTTTAGTTTTATCNGCCTACTAATTTATTATTCATTGCAATCTACTTCTGGGTTAGATATCAAATCCGTAATTGTTTAATCCCTCTAATTTGTGAAGCAACTAAGATTTGATGATTTGCTGCATCAAAGATTATTAGATCTTAGAAAGAACATTTAACTAAATTAAATGCATTCACTTGTGCTTGTGTTGTTTAGTTTTATCGATCTTTCTAATTCTTAATGTTGCTACTAGATTAAATCTTTAGTACTTGTCTTGGGTTGTTTAGTAGTTAAGGTTAATTAGATTGCTTGTTTTCTAATTAATTGCGACTAAGGAAATATAGGAAGATAGTTCCAACGGTGAATATTCAGATACTGAATATTCAGATACTGAATTGATATATACTTGCATCGATGATCAGTTGTAAATTAAATTCTGATGGTGGATGTTGACTTAGACCAAGGTTTGTTTTCTTGATTGATTTCGATACTTTAATTTGAATTATTCTTAGTTATTTTTTCTTAAAATTTTTTTCGTTAAACTCAAACCCCCCCATCCTTGTTCACGAGGCATAAAACAAGGCTAGATACTCTCTGTGGGAACGATCCTTACTCGCACTACTACATGTATTTTAGGAGTATAAGTTCTATTTTTGGTTGCCTGCGACAGCAC